CACAGGTCGGATTCAAACCAGGGTCGGTCACGTTGAGGACAAAGGCCTCCATATATGGGTCGTGTGCTCTAACCATTGCGCCACCAAAGCACGCCCCAAGTTACACTCTTAACTACAGTATTGAAACTCAACTAAACTAAGCTACTATTTACAAAGAAGATGGAAAAGCATGGTTGAAAATCCTAATCCATAAAATTATGCAATGATATCACAGTGCAGCATGGATTTTATGTTTAAGAACCAATTTTATCAGAAAGAGTTTGGAATGTGATCAAATTAGCTTTTGACTAATTTGAAGCAATTGGAATGTGTTCAGACCAATTCACAATGCAAATCTAAGATGTAAATAAAAAAGTATTTAGCAAAATAATCTTTTATTAAATAATTTGCTTAATCAGAAAACAATGACCTTTAGTTAAATGATCCTTAACCTTTTTTGATTGAGCTAGTAGCAGCAGACAAGAGGGTTCTACCCGTAAAGGATCATATTTTGGTAATTCAATGTGATGAGCATATGAGTGTGCATGAAAGGAAATGTTATATTAGTCTTTAAACTCTTAATAAAGCTTGCTTTAGCTTTTATAAACGACTCAAAACATTTCAGCATCATGTCCATGGAGGAGCATTGCATATCTTCTTGGGAGTGTGTTAGGCAGAGTGGGAGGTGATGCAGGCCCAACTGCAGAGCAACAATGCATCCTCCTAGCCCAATCATCATGTTTGTCACAAGGCTCAGAAATAAAGGACTCAAATGCAAGACCTGACACAGTGGATTAAAACTCAAAGTTCTTTTAATTCAGTCCAGGGTTGAACACCAAAAAGTCCAGCAGAAACAGAAGTATCAAAAAACGGAGGCAAAGACAGGTCCAAATCCAAGCAGGGGTCAAAACACTAAAAAGCTAAATCTAACAGGCAAAAAGGCTGGAACGCTAAGCTCAAAGGACAAAGACAAACTGGCAAAGGGAAGCTGCAAGGGTGGGAACTAAATACTCTAACAAACAAAAGAGGAGCACATACACCAGGTGAATTGCATTAGGCTGTGGCAGATCCTGATTGCAGGAAGGAACTCAGGAAGTGAAGCTGCCTAAAACAAGAGAGAAAATGAGTACCAAAATAAAACAGGAAGTGAAAAGACAAGGTAATAAAAGTGACATCAATCTTATCAGGACTGCCCCTGACATTGTTAATATCATTATGGACATTGGTCCCCAATTTCCAAAATTAATATCATGGTTTATGGCCCAATAGCAGCTTTGATTTTGTTTGTAAATGTAGCCGTTTGGAAAGAGAGGTTACCATGGTTTAATAATAGCATCAATAACTCTTCTGACTTTTGTCATTTTTATCACTGTTAGTTTACCTTTTTTATACATTTTTTAACAACAGCTATGACATCTCCCCCTTCCATTGCTGTGAGAAACATTATGTTAGGGGGTTTTGTTGTCGGTACCTGATGCAACTCTCTATTTTATCACAGGATCAGTGATCTTTTCTACCAGTTTTTGAAAGTCTTTTTACTGGACAGTGTTTCTTATAAGTATCTTTAAAATGTTTAGGGACTTAATTTTTTCTTAGGATTATCGAATCCCAGTTTTGACTACAACAGATTTTTTTTTAAACTTATCTGTCTTCGTCAGAAGGATCTCTGTAAAAATTGCCATAAACCACAAACGCCGGTAGATGGTCACTGAAATAATTCGGAAATAATCCACTTATTGTGTTATCAATGATTTTTGTAGACATTGTATCTATTAATGTGGCACTGTGAGGTGGTTTGTCTTGAAATTGTTTTGCATGCACTTTGTCCTTCTCTCCAGCTCCACCCAGATTTGTGACCAGACTAGAAAGCGCTTGTCTGATTGAAGGAGAAGGGATCCAGTTTGTATGTTCCACTCTCACTACCCCTTTACCAAGAATCAGGTACGGCAGACCACAGAGACAATAGCATTACGTGTCAATGCAGATGGTCATGTGTCTTCTGACTGGAGAAACTGTTTTTCCTGCAGGTGGTTGAAAAATGGCAGGGAGCTGACTGACTGCAATAAATATTCCATTGTGAATGATGCCCGGAGTGGAATCTTGTCTCTTACAGTTACAGGGGCAACAGAGGCAGATATTGGAGTGTATGAATGTGAGGTATGTAATATATATGTCTCTTTAATGAACTTTTTAAACCTTCTTTTCATAACACCTAGTGTCACTTAAAATCCCAACAATTTTTTTATATTAGCTCTGGAATGAACTTGGCTGCATCAAGTGCAAAGCAGGTCTTTGTCCTGCCTTTGTGCCACCTGCTGACATAGAGAGTGACCAACAGCAGAGCCTACCTGCTAAAGGTAGGACTGTCAGAGCCAACGGAGTGAATATCTTCCACACAAGGTGGAAACCCACTAAAGGGTTTTCATATGTGTGGCACACAGGTTTAAACGTTAGCCACGATTTTAAAGGGATATAATTAAAGCACATGCCATTGGCAAGTTTTCACATTATCACCCTTTTTTTCCATCACATTATGTCACAATTCGTTACAATATTCATCAATCAGTTCCAATCAGTACTTCTTTTTCCAACACTACCATTCATAAACTCCATAAAGTTTGCAGTATCTTGAAATTTTACTCACATACTTACACTTTCCTTTTTCCCAGTTTCATACACTTTCATCATACATAGTTCCAGCTGTGTCATTTCTGTTATGACTAGATTCCAAACTATTATGGCACTGGGAGGAACATGCATAGGATCTGATATAAAAAGACTGTTTCTGTTAGAAAAGACAGATAAGACACATGCATTTTAACTACAGACACATCCGTCTGAGAGTGTTTTCAATATCTAAACTCTGGTTCATGTAGAGTTTTCACCAGCTCATAGAGATTTTAGTTTATTTTAGAGGATTTCTTCTCAATAAATATAAAGATACTATACATCAAACACATCTCTGTTTCTCAAAATATCTAGTTTTGAGTTTTGTCATCACTTTAGTTTGAACTCTCAAATCTATTGTCATATACTCTTCTTAGCAGTTCTGGAATGAGATTACCTAACTGGGAAAAGATCTGTTTCTTTGTCTGTTCCATTTGGCCAGTCACTGAACAAGTACTAATTGAAAATCTGAAAATCCAATCAATATCGCTATCCAGCCTGTCCATGCATCGGTGGTCCTTACTATTGTATGTTATCAAAATCAATGTCCAACTTTTATATTTGGTTGTTTTCTGAAATTCTTTTACATCGCCTTACCAGTTTCACACAAAACTGAAGTGAAATCAAAGCTTTGTGTGTTTGCGTTTGCACTTTTAGAACTGTTTTGGATGCTTATTTTGGTCAAATAAGATTTGAAATCTCAGGAAATCTTTTCAGCATGTTTAGATATCCATAATTGCAAGAAACTCAGTCACAGTTCACCATCTAAGACACACAAATAATTGCGATGTAAAACCCTCATTTGGCTTGGCTTCAATCAAATGTGACATTATAAATATATTTGGGTGTAAGTCAACCCATGTCTATGCATATTCTTGTAAAGATTACCCTGAGCATAGAGGCTTGTATTCAGAAAAACTAGAGGTGGTTGTTTTACTTGTAGATTTAATGCAGTTATAAATCCAGTGGAGAGTATTGCATGCAACAAAAGTTACACAGATAATAGTTTTTCTGAATTTCCTCCAAAATGAGGGGCAAACTTATGCACGTAACTAACATATATAGCTTTTTAGAAGAAGAAAAGGTTTTGATATTGTGGGGAGAAAAAATTACCATAACCATACCAGTTTCAACTTCTTCTTTGTAGCCATAATAAGTGGAATCTAGATGCTTTAATTCACCATATACATCATGCTGTAGTCCTCAACACCCACTCCCCTAAACATTTTATCATCATGTTTCCACTTTCCGTATAAGATATGAGTTGTAATCAGCTACATTGTGTGTTCTTATTGAAATGTTTATATGCAGAGCTCATTGGATTTTTAAAAGAGCCAAAAGCTAAGAGAAAATCAAGATCATATTAAAAACTTGGTACTAGGAAAAGCAAGTACGGTATTTGTTTGAGCAGATCAGCAATCATCTAATCAGAATACAGAAACTGAAGTGAATTTTACTTCTGTATTTTCCACACCATATTTGTTTGTCGTTCCATTGTCTATAACCTACATGATGTTTCCCATTTTCCCTTCACTAGTCTCAAAGCAGGGGGTTCCTCACATGGACCGTTCCATGTAAGTCATTATTGTCATGATAACCAATAACCACTCAACGCTCCCCTCTCTCTTCCTGCCAACGCATGCCCAGCTAACTCTCCACTCCTACAAGATGGTCATGTGCTGGGCGAGTGTATCCTTCCTGCCCATGCAGATGTGGGCATGTGATCATGTCTTGTTGATGTGGTGGGTTAGAGGGGTAAAACCCTGATTCTCCAAGGTAAGGCAAACTGTGTTTACTATTCCTGGAAGGTAAGGTAATGTGCTTTCTAAAAGCTTATTTTTCTACTATATTCAAAAAGTAACTAGTCATCAAATTATATAGTAACTTCAATTTGGAAATATGCCTAATTAATGTTTTGGTTTCTCTAGAAGCTGATTCAGAGGCATGGTCAACTGCCTTTGTTAAAAAATGGCTGCAGACTGATTTCAGCCCATCTTCTTTGGCCAAGATACAATGTCCTCCTTTATCCTCTGAGCAGTAAGTGTTTTAAATCCTGATGTTTCACCCTTTTACGTAACTGAGCATCAGAGACTACCAACTTTATAGAATGTGGATCTTCACCTTTAACGGCTTGTCATTTACGTTGTGAAGTTAGGAAAAGAAAGCTGTGCCTGGTTGTTAATTCTGATCTTTCCTTAAATATGCAATGAGAATGGAATTATAACTGATTTACTCTAGAGTTGGTTGTCATCACAGTGAAGCACCTCTTGTAAAGGGCATTTGCATAAGTTGTGATACTGTTAATTATGGCCCAGTTCTCAAAACATAACCAACAGAATTTGGTTCTTAAATTGTATGTTCCAGGAACTGACTTTTATGCTCAGAATTCAACTGCCTTTTTGTTTGACTTAATAGCAATGAGAAGAAATGTATTGATTTTGTGTTTGTTAAGAAATCTTATTGCCAGCACCTTTATGTGTCTTTAAAACCAGATGTAGTACCGTGATGGATGTTCAACGTTCTGCATTGGATGAATCAGTGCAGCAGCCTTCATGTTATCTGGAAGAAGAAGAGGAGATCTACATTTCAGAGGCCCTGCATGAAATCACAGATGGTAGTTTAGCTTCCTACATGTAGAAAAAGTTAATAAATTGTTGATTCACTAAATACTGATGTAACTTTCCTCTCAGCTCCGCCTTCCATCCAGGTGCCTGCTGAGGATCTTTGCGTAGAGCCAGGCCAACCAGCAACATTCATAGTCATCATCACAGGAAGACCCACTCCAAAGATACAGTGGTACAAGGTAAGCAGAGGAGTATGCAGTAATGAAAGGATATATACGGTAGATGTTTATACCCAGTCAAGGGGTTTTGATTTTCTATTTTCAATTATTGTCAATACCACTACAATTTTTTTTTTATATCTTATACAGGGATTAGTAAAATAAAACTGTTTTCAGCATATGGTTGTATTTTAACCAAAAAGCTCAAGTGGAAAAGAGTGCTGTGGTCAGAATAAAGAGATGGGAAATTGGGACTCATGTGCTTTGTGTGTGGCAAGAAACCTAAGACTCTCTTAAAGCATGTTAAAAGACTGTCAGCTGTTTTCCATCATGACCACGACAGTTCTGATAGACAACCTTTCACAGGGACCATAAAATCAGATTAATGTGAGAGAGCTTCATTTTCCCCAAGATACTTGTACTTCTCCCTTTGAGGCAGGAATTCCCCTCTGACCAGAAAAGGGCAAACCATCCATTTCTGGAGGAGAACCATGGGCTCAGACTTGGAGGAGCTGAGGCAAAAGTGATCCTGCAAAGTATTGACTCAGAGGGGCTGAATACAAACACACTCAAAATCTAAATACATTTCTTGTAAAAAAAATACAAAAAAAAAAAGTTGAAAATGTGTTATTTTTCCTCGACTACTCATTAAATCTCGATGACATGCACTACAATTAAAGCTTAAAGGAGAATCAGTTTTTCTGATAATATTTGAACACCTATAAAGTAGCTTTTGTCAATTCTGGCGACTTGCACTAGAGCAGCGTCTAGTTGGAGAGTTGATTAAACACCTTAGAAGCCCATCTTCCTAAGCACATTCTAAGCCAGATGTAAATCAAACACTCACCAGTTCTGCTCCCGGGTAATTGGTGTCTTCTTTATTGTTATGTATGATTGTTGTCTTTGCCCATTTTAATCATAACGAGATTGCTTGTGTAGCCTCTTTTGAATAGTTTCAAAGACATTTATTTATCCTTGGGATCTGAAACTGCAGTCCTCCACTCTGTTCAGTAATTGCTTTTCTGTGTCAATCAAGTGGGCTTCCTTCACCACTCTTTCAAAACATCTACCCTCTCTGTCAAAGATCTAAACATTTAGCTTGTCAAAGGTCCTTGGTTTTTGTAGTCTTGCCTTTATGATGTAGGAGTTAAAGCAGTCCTCAATGTGGTAGACCGAAAAAGCCACTCAGCTTTGATTTGGGTGTCTGTCTTTGGGCTGAACCAGATTGTGTCTGGGACTGTTGATGGTTTCACTGTTATGTTATGTTTAGAGAGAATCCTCCTTACTGAATTACAATGTTGTTGTGTTTTGTGGATCCATTGTGGTTCTTCCTCCGCTAGTGCTTTTGGCCAACTTAACTAACGCTCACAGTAAAAAATTCACAGTCAATCTATTCAACTTTAAATTGAGTATTTGTAACCATACTGAATGTAAATCTGCTCAGGTGTTGGAGTTAATAATAATTTAACTTTATTGATCTCACATTGGAGAAATGTATCTCTGCATTTAACCTATCCCCTTGCGGAGCAGTGGGCTGCCATTGTGTTGCGCCCAGGGAGCAGTGTAGGGTTAAGGTTTTTGCTCAGGAACCCAGAGTGGAGCCTGTAGGGATCAGGCCGGGTACTTGCAACCTTCTCAGAGCACAAGCGCACTGCTCTAATCAATAGGTCAACACTCACCTCATAAAAACAGTCATGGAAAAAAATTGACAGCAAAAATTGCAGTGTAACATTTACTCTATGTGGTGTTGATTATCTGACAGTCTTCTTGATTGATTGACAATGAGTAAAATTAACAAAAAAATTCAGACAGGCTATAGAATAAACTGTGATTTGGGTTGGAACCAAATGTTATCTAAAATAAAGTTATAACTCTGAGGACTGATAACAGACTGTGGGTTCCACTTTGCCTTTAACTGGATAACTTGGTGGTTCCAATCTTGTAAAAAATTTTAAAGGTTTAGAAAGTAATTAATAGATGTTTTATGATCAAATGAACCATCAGCTTTCTACTTAAATCTCTTTATCTCCTTTCTAATTAAAGGATAGGGAGCAGCTTGCAGCCAGTGAGAATGTGAAGATAGTCCAACATGGTGCTCGCTGTTGCCTCACCATTTTGTGCCCTGAAGGAGAGGACAGTGGCATATATACCTGCTTTGCTCACAACGACTCAGGCCAAGCCTCCTGTGAAGCTCAGCTAACAGTCGAGGAAGGTCAGACGTTAACAATTTGCATAACATTGATCCAGTCCAACACAATGTCAATGAAAAGCTGTGATATGATGCACGACTAAAAAAAAGCCTTTTTTTTAATTTTTAGACTTTTGAAAGGTATTCATGTTCCAAATGTATTTACAGATTTTTCCATGTTTTTCTGTAGGTCTACTTTATTCCCAGGAAAAAGAGGTGGAGCTGGGGAAGAGAAGGAAGCTGTTCTCAGTATATGATGTCCATGAGGAAATTGGAAGGTGATGTGCACTGTGAATTACATGTTTGTTGTTTTAGACACAGCATAGGAACCTGTCTATTTATTACTTAGGGGGACATTTGGGGTGGTGAAGCGGGTCATCCACAGAAGAACAGGTGAAGTGTTTGCTGCCAAGTTTCTACCCTTGAGGAGCAGCTCTCGGACCAGGGCCTTCCAGGAGAGAGATCTCCTTTCCCGTCTCGCTCATCCCAGAGTGGCCTGCCTGCTGGATTTCTTTTGCACCAGACGCACCCTGGTCTTAATTACAGAAATGTATCCTCCCTTTTTTGAGTTTTCCAAACTCTTTATGGTTTGATCACCACTTTGGTCAGTAGTTTCTTTAACATCAATGTCAGGTGCTGTTCTCATGGGCTTCTCGACCATTTGTTTATGAGAGGATCTATCTCAGAAAGAGAGGTAGAAACCCAAAGTGTTTGACTAAATCATGAAAGTTTTACAAGCCGAATGTTAAGAAATTATTTTTTCTTCCAGGTCCAGTCATATATCCAGCAAATTCTGGAAGGGGTCAGTCATATACACAGCATGAACATCATGCATCTGGATCTCAAAGTGAGATTTTTAATCATTGTTTAAAATAACTTACTGTAGGTTTTCATATCATTCTTTACCTTCATTGTGTACTTTCCTTGTCCACGTAGCCGGAAAATATTCTGATGGTTTACCCTCCAAGAGATGAGATCAAGATCTGTGATTTTGGCTTCTGCCAGGAAATAGACACTTCCCGACACCAGTACAGTATGTTTGGCACTCCAGAGTTTGTTGCACCTGAAATTGTGCATCAAGAGCCCGTCACTATGGCCACTGACATCTGGTAAAACTTCCTGATTATCTTTGTTCTGTGGTTTATAAAATCTGTAAATGATTTTTTTAAACAGAAACTTGCTGATTAGGGATTGTACCTGAACGTAAAAAAACTGCCCTTTTAAACTCCTTTTAAATATTTCAAAGTTTTATATGTAATTTCTTGATTTGTATTTCATTGATATTTTACATTTTTTCCATCAGGGCTGTGGGTGTCATAGCATTTCTGTGGTATGTATACAGAGGAGTTTGTGCAAAATATAATGTTAAACATAAAAAAAGTTCAGACAGAATGGTCACTTTATCTAACTGCTTGATATAAAAATTTTTATGTGTACAGTCTGGTTTGCCGGTGCCCTTTTGTGAGCGAGACCGACCGTGCAACATTGCTGAGGGTGGAAGAGGCAACTATAAACTGGGATGCTCCAGATGTCGTATGCAGGAGCCCTGAAGCAAGGAATTTTCTTCACATGGTCCTACAGCCAGATCCAGAGTATTACAGCTGTCTCATTTTTTATTTGCCTTTTGCCAAAAGTTTTCTAACCGTTTGATTCTTTAATTTCGTTTGTTTTTACAAACTCATAATTATTAAAAGTATTATCAGAACAAGGACAGAACACCTACAGTGTTCACAGGGTTTGCTGTATTGTCTCCTCTTGTAATAGGCTTAAAAGGCCTTAAAATGAGTATGATTTTGTTTATTTCAAACAGCTAAAAAGTCTAGATTTTATATATATTTAAAATAATTGTATATATTTTTCTATTTATGTGTTTATTTACAAAATCCTCCGTTCCACCATTTTTGACACTATTCAAAATCGGAAAAGGTCTAAACAGTTCAGATTTTGTCAAAAAACATTAAGCATTTAGTAGTTTGGTGGGAAATACTTTTACAGGAATAAAGAAAATATACAATATTTAAGCATATCAATCACTACTTGGTATGACAGTAACTGTGCATCATGCTGTATGTATCCATCTGACAAACCCAAATATAAATGTGCAATCTGGTTTAAAGATGCTCAAAAGTTTTAGAAGAGTCATCGCGTAATGCTATCTCATTTTTCCTATGCAGGACTCGACCATCTGCCTTTGAGTGCTTGAGTCTAGATTGGCTTCAGGTAAATAAAAATAAGACATATTTTTTGCAAAATTGTTTTTTCTAATTGACTCACACCCAAATCATTTGTAAATATCCCCAAAGGATGGAAATGCAGGGGAGGACACGGATGAAATCAACACAAAGAGTTTGAAAATCTTCATCTCTAAAAGGAAATGGCAGGTATGTCACCTTCTGTGCTGAGTTTCTACTAAATCTAAAGCTCCTGGTGAAAACAAATACAATGCATTGCAAACATAAACATAAAACAAGACAACACTAAACCATTGAACATATGCAAGGTAAGAAAATTGAAGTTCTCGCAGTTAGATCATGACAGTGGACTGACCAAAGCATACCAGAAGAATCTAAACAAATCATAACCAAGAGTTTGAATAGTGAGGAAAGACTGCAAAGCATGGGAACCAAGTGAGAGGTAGTTTGAAACAGCTGTGGCAGAGTTTAAAACAGAGGAACTAAGGGAAGGCAATTAATAAACATAGATTATACACAGCACTCTCAACCACACAAAAAAAAGTGTAGAAAAAACATAAAAGACAGAATCCAAGAGTAAATGAGCTAAGCAGGAAGAAACTAAACTATATGGCAATATCCTAAAAATCTTGCAAAATAAATATATGAGAACTAAATTACGCAAGACTTAAATGGCAATAGTGAACCAAATAATATCAGACAAACCAAAGAAAAAACAAAAACATCAATGGATCATGACATGCTATGATAAAGTTCAGATCTTAGTTCTAAAGAGATGCTGATCCTTAAAATGTTCTCAAAAAAGAAAAAAAAACACCTTATACTTTATCTAAGTCTCTTCATGAGCAAGCAACATAGAATGAACTCGAGAAGGCTTAAAGCCCTAATTGCATCAAAATATTGTGCCCTAAGGTACAGATTTAGGGGCTGGATATAAATTCACTCCATTATTTTTAGACTTTTAATAGTAAAAAAAAACAACCGTTTTTACTTTATGTTGTTTCCCTTTAAAATAATGCATATCCAGTCTCTGTTTGTAAAGAACCAAAAAATCCCCAAAAAAGCACATTGACATTTGTGAGTCTCACATAACATTCTGAAGGGATGGCAAAACATTGGAGCAATGTCTCTCTCCATTTGTCTCTTCAGCGTTCTTTGACATCCATCGGGTCGGTGCTCACACTGAGGCCCATTCCGGAGCTGCTAGATGCTCCTCTCAGAGAGACTTCAGTTGCAGTGCCACGAGAGCCCCAGGAGCACAGCAGTACCTCCCTGAGCAGCGGCTCCTCATCAGAATATGACGAGGCAGACTCCTGGGACTTTTTCCAGCCCTGCAGCCAGACTGAAGATGAGGAGGATGAGACAGAGGAAGAATATGATCACTTAATGGAGAGGGCACAAATCTCTGAGCGGTTTGCTAAATGCCGCACAGGTTCAGAGGAGGATGAGGAAGGGACTTTAGGTGAGGATGAAGAGGGAGAGATGGGAGAAAGGAGGAGTGTTTTAGAGCGCAACATGAGCAGGGCATCAACAGCATCCTCAACAACAACAGACCAACAGACTCCTCACAGGGAACGACGTTTCAGCAAGGATAGTAACCGATCTTTGTATCTCTCTGATGGGGAAGAGGGTTCAGGGAGTGATGGTGGGCGCATTCCCAGAGGAAGTGTCATCCGAAGCACTTTCTACAACACCTCTCAACAGCTTTCCCCTCTGTCTGCCAGACACATGACTTTAAGGGACAAATTTCAAGCGAGGAAACAGGAAAGGGGCCGTAAACCTCTTAGGAGAAGCTTCTCGGGGCGTCTCAATGAGCCTCTGATTGAATACGTAGAGGATGAACCAGAGAGCACCCGTGGGCAGAGACAAGGACCCATCCAGCCTACCATTCAGAAATCCTCTTCATTTGACAATGGAATGGGCTTTGTCCACAGCAGTCTACCCCCACACAGACGGAGCAGGTCCCTGGATGAGTATTCCCGTCGATCTCCCAGCTCATCCAGCCTTGAAAGGGCACATGAAGAAGAGGCCTTTCAGACTAAGAGGGAAGGATTCACAGATGATGAAGCAACTTGTAGAAACTTGCAAAGTATGCAGAAAGCTCATCAAGTCTTAGGACGGAGAGGTTCTGTTGTTGTGATGCAGAGACCATTGAGTGGAGTGTCTGTTCCCTCAGAGTACCATGCTGGAGGCAGAAAGAGTTCTAGACTGGGTCAGGACCATACAGAGGGTGATACTTTAACCAGCTCCCAAGGGTCTCTGGCTGATTCTTTTATTTTGGAGCATGGTGGATCTGAGACCTCAAGTAGAATTGGCTCCTTTGATGAATTAAGTCATGGTAGGGTGAGAAGAACATACCAATCAGGGGAGAGTGACGAACAAGATGAACAGAGTGAGCCACTGATAACACCATCCCCTACCTTATTTCAGGAAATAAAACACAGAAGCTCCTTTCCTCAAGCACCACCACGTAATCGTACCCGGTCCAATCCCAACTTATCCACAACCTTCAGAAGCCAGCCAGAGAAACCCTTAATGCCAAGTCCGAGTCCAAGCCTCTGCTCTCTAGAGGCTCCGCAGAGGCCTCCCAGGGCCCGGGATAAGAGAGAAGGCTCTGCACTTCAAAGACATGCATCTGCTCCAGCTCTGGAAGCACAACCACAAACTGGAAAGTCCCCAAAATTGGGTCTTTTGAATATCTTCCGTAGGCAGTCCTGGACCGGCCACTCATACACCCAATTGGAGAATACGGAGCTGGGACCAACACTGGGAGAGATCATGAAGCCCAATACACCTACTATGTCTCTGAGAAAAAAGATGAGGGCTTCCGCCTCCAGTCTGACCAAGCTCTTTTCCAGGTCCTCTAGTAAGGAGGATGTTAGTAAAGGAGGTAAACTCCAATTATAAATTTATATATAATCCCAAGTTGGAGATATTGCCTGTTTGTTATACCAGGTAAATTATTTAGTTTTTTCTTTTTTAAGGACCGATTGTAAAAGGATCTGCTGCCATTCCTCAGAGTAGTGCTCTTGAAAGCCCCAAAAAGAGAAGCTCAAAGCTCTTGTCATCTTTTAAAATACCGCCGTTCAGAAAGACCAAAGGTTACAAGAACACACTCTAGATTTCAACATTTTGAACATTTAAAAACATATATATATTAGGGAAAAGGAGATTATTTTTCTTTACCTGTTTTATTTTTCTCCATTACCCTCATGTTAGTTTGTCCCAGCAAAGCCGAGGTGCTGCAGTTAGCCGGGGGTGGCGTACTGCTGGTGTGGAAGCCTGTCCAGTCTGCTGACCCTGTCACTTACTGTGTGCAGTACTGTACAGCTGGTGAGTTTCAGCAGTGATGATCATACGGTCTTGTTCAGGGATGAGAGGGAGATGAAGCGGGAGATCAACTGGCAGATTGGTATGGTGGCTGTTGTGAAGCGGGCGCTGTACCGGTCCGTTGTGGTTAAGAGAGAGCTGAGCCAAAAGGCAAAGCTCTGGATTTACTGTTCGATCTACGTTCTTACCCTCATCTATGATCATGAGCTTTGGGTTGGTGTGGTACACAGTGGTACAATCAGTTTTCATTATTTTGGTTCATATTTAACATCACTAGAGCCTTCTTTAAAACTTTGAAAAGCTGTTTTAATGGCCGTAATAGAACTTAATGATAGCATCTCTTCTGTGCATTTTTGCAGGTGGAGAGTGGAGAGTCCTGTCAGATGAGGTTGCAGAGAGCTGCTATGTGGTAAAGGACTTACCAAAAGGAGCATCATATGTGTTCAGAGTGGGCTGTATCACCAGAACAGGAGCAGGACCTTTCAGCGAAGCTTCCGCTCCCACTGTCATACCCAGTTATCCTGAAGGCATGAAAACCACGCCGTGTGTTATAGCTGTTGCACACTATTTTAATTATTGTCTTTGCATGCACATACAGTACACATTCAAGGCCTGCTGTTTGGAGGGTAACAGACACTCTGCGTGTTTTTATTGTATTATTATTTTGCAGATATACGGATTCCTCTCGTTCAGACTCAGTCACTTGGACTAAAGGCCGATGGATCACAACCTCAAAGTGTAAACAGGAATTACAGCTTCCTCTCTGAGATTAACAGGTAGATGTCACTGATGGAAAATAAAAGTGGTTTCTGTTACATTTAGCAACAAAAGGACTTTTTCTGTTTAGATTTTTAACGCGGCTCAGTAGTTAAATGCCTAACGATGATCCTTGTTGGAAAAATTGGTGAGGTCCAAAGTGGAATATTAAGAGAAGGATGGAAAGCTAGAATTTTTATTTATCCCAAACTCATTAGCGAAAATAATACAATCATTTTTTGCTCTTCCCCCTAGGCAGGTTCAATTAAAGTATCGCTTTTTCTAATCCTGTTTTCCCATCTCTCAGGGGTCGTTTTAGTGTAGTAACTTTGTGCAGGGATGTGGTGACAACTCAGGTGTTTGCTGCTAAGATCACTCCATACCGTGCCGAGCAGAGACAACTGGTCCTGCGGGAGTACCAGCTGCTAAGGAGGCTTCACCACCCTCACCTGGTTCAGCTGCATGCTGCTTTCATCACCCCATGCTATATGTTGTTAGTGGAGGAGTTGTGCCCTGGCAAAGAGCTACTGTACAGTCTGGCTGCAAGGTAAATGACAATGTTGATTTTGCATTTCATTTAGATACATACATTGATAAGAGACTCCTCTGCTTCTTTTCAAATTGTAGTTTAAATAATTTATTATAATTTCATTTAGAGTTTAAAAATGATCATAGTAACAAAATAAATGAATAAGAAAAAATCTATTTCCAGAAGTTTATCTCCTGTTCTGATTAAAAAGAGCTTAAATAAAGAAATTCTCTGAGGTTAAATGGAGACATATTTCATGCCCTAGAGACCTTTATGCAGAGAACAACGTTGCAGAGCTTTTGCATCAGGTTGTGAGCGCAGTGGACTACCTCCACAGTCGTCGAGTCATCCACCTGGACCTAAAGTCTGACAACATGCTGGTAGATGATGGCAACCACCTGAAGATCATTGACTTTGGCTCAGCCCAGTCCTTCATACCTGGACAGCCTTTAAGCATTGAGCACATTCACGGCTTCGCTGAAAGCAAAGGTATTAGCAATATGTTTATTTTCGCAGTATCACAAAGAAATCGTGTTTTCACAATTTTAACCATTTTCCATATAATACAATCTGAACATATTCAGTTAGGATATAATGGAAAATACGTCTCTCTGTCATCTTCAGTCTATATTGTCCTTCCTAAAGCTCCAGAAATCCTGGAGGGTCAGGGTGTGGGGCCAGAGACTGACATCTGGGCTATTGGAGTCCTGGCCTTTATCATGTAAGTTCTAAGAAAGCAAGAATAGAAAAAAAAGATTTTATTCAACCTAATTATAAGTATAAGATGAGTTAAAATTAGAACTACCGTATTTAAGCTGCAAATTTCTTTTCTCACGCTTTGAACCATGTGGCTGATAAGAAGCTGTGATTTTTCCTAACCGCCAGAGAGGGAGGTCAAAGTTGGAAATGAAAGAAAGAGGGGCTAATTTTCATTTAGCATAAGAACATGCTAGCAGCAGGAACGGGGGAGAACAAATGTCCCGAATTCACACATTTTGAAATGTATTTTCTGCATTAAAGCTGCTGAACCAATGAATAGACTGAGCTAAGGCAAAGACAAAGCCATTCTTCTTCTTTGTTCCTTACTCCAGGGATGATATGTAAAGCTCCCCCTACAGGATTGGTGGGAGACAGTTCAGTAGATATCAGCAGCTTATAGCCCAGTGCTTCTTATACATGTATGTTTACATTTTTAAAAAAAGATTTAGTGGGTCCGGCTTATAGTAAGGTGTGTTCTATAGTCTGGAAAATACGGTACACAGATCCGATACCTGGAGACGATATCGTTCCTGATTTTGAGCAGATTTTGGGGATATGATATAGGAGATCCAATCCGGTGCAATTCACATGAAAGAATTATGTGTTTCTTTTTGCTGCTTTTTTTTCCATAAATATAAAGTGCATTTACATCTGTGTTAATGTGTTATCGTTTTCCAACATTGTTTATGCCATAGCTAAAAACTTTACTCACATAATAAGATGTATGATTCATTCACTCAACAGTTGAATCGAATCGGTATCAGATATCAGCCAATACTCTAAGCCCAGGTATCGGTGTCGGATTGGATCAGGAAAATAATGGATAAATGTATCCCTAGTTAAATTTACATAACTACATAAGAATTAAAAAATTAAAAAATAATAACTGCAGTCTATAGATGGATAGATCCATGTGTAGACTCCATTGTTTAATGCCCCACAATATTTTTCCTTTTTTTCAATCTTTGTGCATTTTGAACCACAAGGCTCAGCGCTGACAGTCCCTTCCATGCCGAGCTCAGCTGGGAGCAAGACAAAAACATAAAGAAAGGAAAGATCCAGTTTGGCCGCTGCTACCCTGGTCTGTCAGAAGGAGCTTTAAACTTCATGAAGAGCAGCCTTAATAACAAATCCTGGTGAGTGAGTTAGTTGGTTAGTTTATTCTACTTTATAATTGATTTTTATTTATGTTAGATGAGTGATAAGAGGACAGATTAATGTGCTAAATATCTTTGAAGGGGGAGACCCACAGCAGCCGAGTGTCTCCAGCACCCGTGGCTTCGTGCCCATCGCACTCCACACAAAGTCCGCCCATCCAAAGTGTGCTTCTCCACTGACAAGCTCAGAGCTTACCTCAAGCAGAAAGAGGAGAAACGAGACCAAGTGTGCACAAAGCATCAGGGTCCGTTCTTCTAGTGTGGTTAAAAAATCCACAAAACCCCGATCAGTGTTTTGAACAAAAATTATGGCTAAAAGTTTTTCAAGTTTGCCTTTTTTCTGCTAAATCAAGTCTAACTTAGCATCATAAAATGATATACCCTGACTTTAAATATGTCTTAACGAGTCTGTTTGGAAAAATCAATTTTGAGGAATATTTATCAGAGATTATTATCGATGCACGAGTTATACGGTTTTGGTTTTGCTGTAAAGTGATTCGCTGTGATCCTCGTCTAAAGTGTCAAATGGATCCACATGCTTGGTCTTACATTTGAAACCTTTTTTGCATGTTTTAGTGAACAGTAATATTTCAGAAGTATGTTCCAAACTTCATAACTCAAAGTTTGCAATGAGGAAATAGTTGATAGTTAAACTATGTTATATGGATGACCTCCTATTTTGAAGTGAATGGAAAAAAATAAAAAATGACACCAAAAGAACTCTGTTGATGTCATCAACTTTCTCATCTTTTTATTTATCCATGTTTCTATACAGACATATAATATTAAACATAATTGGGAATCTACAAGATACTTTGTTTATTTGACAAATAGTTTTATTCTTCTAATATTTGTGCCAAAATAAAATGTGGGTGAAATCTGTTTTCAAAGGGTTCCTATGCAGTTTTTGAGTTTCTCATCCATCAATCCATCCATCCATCCATCCATCCATCCATCCATCCATCCATCCATCCATCCATCCATCCATCCATCCATCCATCCTTTCTTACTTGCTGTGTTTCTGTGGGTCAGATAATTCCAAGCCTAACAATATTACAAAAATCTCCTATAAATAATTTTGAGGATTTCTATTTATGCTTCAGAACTTCTTAGGAAGCAAAAAGAACCCATAACTTCTAATTTATGGAAAACTATTTGCAAACCCTGTGTTTGCTAAAGGAAATAAGTGCCAAAGGTGTTTAATAGAGGCCAGAAGAAAAGTGTCACATTTAATAGATTTCAAATATTAAAACATATAGATCACATATTTGTTTTCTCTAACTACAACACAAAGTCTCATTTAGAAATAAAAACTTTTCACTCAAGACACCAGCATTTCATGGCCTGTATGGAAAATGCAAAGGTGCAAGAGACATAAATAGAAAGAAGAAGCTTTTTTTTCCTCTGATCTCTTGAACTGTGTTCAATCTCTGGTTGAGTTACTCTGATCAGAGTCACAAGTAGCAAAACAACTGGGTGATTGGTTTTGGTTCATTTGGTCTCCTGAACCTTGTTGATTTCCTGTTGAGAGAGAAATGTTTTGATATTTAAAGTTAATTTAACAGAAACAGATCAAATTATTGTTTAAGGGCTTACATACCTCTTTAAGGATTTCTTTCAGCTCCTCGTAGGCCTTCTCTAGGTCATCATTGATGATAACAATGTCAAACACTCCAGCCTCCTTACCTAGAAGTTATTGATAAATCTTAAGTATTTTTATTTTTACTTTAGGGCTTTTTATCAGAATTGTGGGGAAACTCACTAAGCTCCATATCAATTCGTGCAGCCTCAAGACGTTTCTGTAAACTCTCCTCTGTCTCCGTATGCCTATCTCTCAGACGTTTTTCCTGAAATAACACATAATTACATCATCTTCATCATAAAACTGTTCCATGAACCATTTAAAACCCTACTTATTGCAATTAAGCTTTTCACAAGTGAGAGTTTGACCAAAGAATAACATATGAAATGATTAACCAGGATTTCCATGGATGGAGGCTGGATGGAGATATAGATGGGGTTCAGGTCAGTTTCTTTGATCCGCTTCACGCCCTGGATATCCACATCAAGGATGCAGATCAGGTTCTTAGCTCGTACATCTTCCACAGCAGCCTTACTGAAAACAGAAATCCCAACAGGGACAGAAGTAGATCAAGTGAGTACAAACAGAGAGGTTTTTATTGTATGTTTTTTTCTAAATGGGTTTTGAACATGTATTCATGCTTTTGCCGTTTGCAAGCATAAGGAAAGAGGTAAGAGGATCTTTGCATTGATCTAAGCTTCGTGACAGAATGTTATCTTCAGAATAAGAGGGAGAGATTAAATGTGACTCATAAGATGCTAAGCTGCTGTGATGCTCTTTTTAAGTTACAGGTTAAAGCACCATCTGTCACCAAGTCAATAAATAACCCTGCTGAAAAAGTCAGGGGACCTTTTCTGCAAGGTGACTGTAATGTGGTCAACTTTGTTTTGTTGTTGTTATTTTATCTTATAAGAAAAAATAAAAAAAAAATCAGGAAAAGACCTTGAAAAAAAAAAAAACATTAAGGATTATGAACTTATATTTTTGAAAAGTTCTTGAAATACATCCTTTTTTTTTTACAACACTTTCCTGGTTTTCCAGCTGGATGGGTCTGAATTTAGCTCCACTAGTCTTTCCTGGTCTTGGTGAAGTGGTGATTGCCTCTGTAGTCCCATTATGACCAGCGACATCAGGCACGTGTTGCCACCTTATGACGTCCACAGGAATTAAAGCTGTCTGGATTCTGCACAACACTCCAGACTTTCTTCCCTATCCTGGATAGTGTTCTTACTATTAGTTGCTAAAAAGGGATTTGGATTGAGCCAATCTTTCACATGTTTGCTACTGGCTACTTTCATCAATGACCTGTTGACGGGTTCTGAGAAGATTGTTTTAATGCAGTGTTTAAATAGTAGGTTTTTGATTAACAGATCTTCCCATCTGAGCTGCAGATATTTGCAGATTCTCCAGAGTTCCCCTGGTCCTTATAGTTGCCCTTCTTTAAAACGCTACCAGTGCCTGATCTGTCAGTTTGGATAGATGATGGTAGCTTTACAGTTGTCACAATTTTTTATTTTAATAATTCTTGATTGAACACTGCACTGTCAAATTTAAGATCCCGAGATATTGTGTTATATGCTAACTGCTTTAAACTTGTTCCCACTTTATTCTAACCTGTCTGTGTTATTTTTGGTATTCATGACAATGTGTTATCTCTAACACTCTCTAAATAAATGTTTTGGACCACTGCTAAAAAAAAAAAAATAACCCTATAATTTTAGTGTAACACTGTCCTTACTAGTCAATACCATTCAATGAAATGACAGAGAAAGAATTATTCCTTGTGGGACATAAAATTATTGAGAGCTTTACCTCCACCACTTACTGCCGTACACATTCAATCAGTTGGCTGAAGGAAGGCTCTTTCGTTTTCCCCTCACTTACAAAATAATATATACAGAGCTGGGGTTGACTTTATATTTTTTTATGCTTATAACTAGCTTGTTATGTTTGCATCATAGGGGTGTCGGGGGTGGGGCGTGTCAATCTGGATAAATAGTAAAGGTTTTCAAAGCTAAGTAAATATATGCTTAATTAAATATATTACCTTGTCCCATACATGTTGCCAGAAAACTCTGCATTCTCAATGAACTCTCCATTGTCGATACCCTCCTGCATGGCCTCTCTTGTCGTGAAGTGATAGTCTGAAAGATGCATCATTCGATATGATTCTAGAAAACTGTAATAATAATCAGACTATAGATGAAGACATAACAAAATATGAACCAAAGCCGTATTAAAACCCCTTTGTCTCTTCTCTGCACAAAGCATCAAAATATGAACTAAAATGGCTATGATGGAATACCATCCAAGGAAAGCAACAAGCAAGCTGGAAACAATGAGAATAGTTTCGATTTGGGGCTGATATAAATGCATAAAATATTTTGTCCCAAAGTCAACCTTTTTCCGATCTTACTCAAACGGCTGAATTTGGTATTAGTTAAACCCTTTTTATTATGACACAGAACAACAGAGGTAATGCAACACAATGAATAAAAGACTTTAAGGAGTTGAAATAAACATGTTTTAGGGATGCTAAAAGGATTATGAATCTCTCAGCTACAGTGGAGGATGGTACCATTTTATGGGAGATTGGAAATGGAAATCACTACAGAGGCATCACAGGGGGCTATTTTCAAAAGCTTTTTACTCCAAAGTGCAAACTGGCTCATATTGATACCCGTGCATATTGGTTTAGTTTATTTAGCTCATAACTGATATGAACCCTAATAGACCAAATGATGGCATGCCAGGGTGATGAAAGTAACCCCCGTTCATCTGCCTTAACAAGCTGTGATAAGGAATCACAGTGATAAAGATCACCTTTATCTGGTGGTTCTGATTCATTTGGACACGAAAATGAGGTTTCAGAGGAAAAGATGGCTGCTACAGGAAGTAATGTAGCCCCCAGAAGCATAGGGAGTTTGTTCAGCCCTATGGAGAGAGCAAAAAAAAGGTACAGAAAAAGTTTATCCCTATATATGAAGGGGATTATACAAGATAACAAAAACCAATGTGCAGTTCACTTGGGAGTAAGAAGTGTTGCAGTGCTGTTGAGAAAGGGCGGGAAATAAAAGGGATATCCACTCGTGTTACAATTGTAGGGGTTCAAATTCAAGTTAATATCAATTGCAGAATTTTCACATAGCAAAGTGATTCTAAAATGTTAAAGGGCTGAAAAACCAGACTCACAAGCTGACTGGGCATAGGCTGGAAACTGGTTTTAAGGTACACCTGTGAATTCGAGCCACAAAATTCCTTCATCAAGCTCTTTCTGCAGTTAGAAGTCTATGTAATTAGAAAGTGGAAAAGCAAAGCAACCAATAAAGTTTACTGTTGCTTCATTAAGCACAGTGTACCAGATCATCCTTCCCACATGTACTATCGGTCAGCTGGCTGAAAAATCTACACCTATCCAATTCTGATGAGATCAATTTTATTATTTTATCACTTTCTACTAAATCTAAAGGTTTAAAAAACAAAGATGTCAATGTCTTTGAAACAGCTTGGGGAAGCCCTGGGTAATGGTGCTATGACTCTGAAAGCTTCTCATCTGGATTAACTGAGGTATACCTGTTAATGTATAATAAACAAATCTAATTTGGTTCAACCAATTCTGCCTGGAGGAATCAGCTATAATTTCTACCAAATAACATGTAAACATATGCAAACTTCTGAACATGAAGAAAACTAAGCAAAACTATTGAAAATATTTATCTCTCAATAGATGAATATAAATATAAATAGATGATAAATAGATGAATATAAAGAGAAATTATCTTAATCCTCATGGACATAAAACCCACAGTCTGTAGACAGTGGTGAAAAATTTTTTATGTGCCACTGTTTGCATATATCTGTTTCCTGTAATTGATCAAATCAATATGTTTTATGATTTTGATATGAGAGGAATATAATTAACTCTTTTTGCTTTTAATCAAATCACTTTTATCATGTAGAACATGTATGTTTGCACATGTTTATTTGTCCAGTTCTGTGATACTGTGATACTTCTTTAGCTAATGATAATGAGAATCTAACACCAGCCCATGTCTAATGCAGTCCTTACAAAGAATTTCACCTAAAAAAGCCATCATGCAGCCAGCTCTGTACCTTTGCCATCTTCCTCCCCTGGTCGAGGGTTTCTTGTCGTGTCTGAGAAAAGGAGGCCACCGTTAAACACACTTACAGATCATTAACCCAATGCTGCATAATCATCAGTCTAATAACAGAATCAGGGGAACTAGACTGTCTGTACCATTTCCTCCTTTTAGATCATGCTTTGGAAGCTAATCACTAGTTGGCAAGCATACATACGTGACACGCTGAATCCAAACACCCCCTCATGATCCTTCATCAGCTTCTTCAGCAGTGTGCTCTTCCCTGCTCCGGAGGGGCCGCTCAACACCACGGGTCTTGGTCCCGACATTGTTCCTAAGACACACACAGAGTTCAGGACCAGCAAACAGCGTCTGTGGGAACTATTATACCTATCTCTGGTGAAAAATATAAATAGAAAGCCATGCTTTGGGGTTGTATAAGCTATTTATCCTCAGCACTGAACCTCAGCAGCTATCCTGTTAGCTGTCCTGAAGTGCACTGAGGTTAATCCTATGATCCACTGCACTGTCAGGTGGAGCATTTCGCACAGAAGGTTAAAACATGTTGCTGCTCTGATAATGTGCTGCTTTTGATCCCTAATGACAATTACTGGGCAAGAAGAAATGCTTCTTTATCAAGCAATTACTCTATGTCCTAACATGTGGCCTGTAAGGCGGCAAGAAGCTCAGGGGGTAAATCAGCAGTGGCTGTTAACGAAGTCATGATGGGTCAGTCAGCGGGATTAATTAGATCTGGGACAGGTGGCCTATTTACCTGCTGCTACAAAGAGAGGACAGTGTTTCAGGCACAACAAATCAATTAATGCTCAAATTAATTGACACAGGAGACTGTTCCTGTGAAATTATATTTTTATCCAGAAATACCTCCATAACTTTTATTAGTTATTATTGTTGGAGTATTTTTTAACATTTGCTGCTTACATGCACATTTTGATCACTTTCAAACCATTATGATAATTGTGCAGTAATGGTTCTAATGTTCAAAACTTTTTTTCCCTTACTTGCTATAAATCTACATGTAAATTTCTCCACTATGAGACAATATAGTTTATTCTAATCTATTAATGTTTGTTTCTGATGAGATTATTGTGATACCTATTGATGTGTGATACCTAATCAGTAGATTAATACTTTTCTTTACAGAATAATAAAATATTATCTAACTGGTTAACAGCTTAAACGGTAAAATGTTCCTTTTAACCAACTCTAAAAATGTTCATGCTGTGTACAGTAAATCACAGAAAAATCTTTGTTTTATTGGGCTTATCCTGAAAAATCTTGAACTTTAATCATTTCATCAGCCAGGAAAGACTAAATATCAAGTAGCAGCCATGATTTTGTATCTGTACAAAGCAGCATTTCTGCATATTATTCTTTGCAATAAACTACAATTGTTACAATTTACTTTTTATTTTTCAATTTCCTGTTGAGAGAGATCTGTCTTACCTTTTCTGTCTTTGCAGGAAACGTGAGGTATCCAGAGACGTTTAGAAATAAGCAATTCTTAAGCCTGCCGTCTTAATGGACTGTGTGCAATCTCAGTGCCTGTGTGTGTGACACACTGAAGCAGCTGTCAGTCTGAATTACCACCACCTCCATTTAGCTCAGTGACCAATCACATGTAAGCTCTCTGGATTGGTCTTTTTGAATAAGATAGGCTAATCTTTATATTTTTTCTGCACTGTGGTGATGAAGGCCTATTGATTTGACTAATGCAGAGCACGCTTTTGGTAAAGTTAAACAGCACAGAGAAAGCAGGAACCCTGGTGAAGTTTGACTTGATTCAGTGCACTGGGCAAACCTCGCCCCGCATCACTCCAATTCTACTGTAAGACAGACTGATGGAGGAGAAATGAGAAGAGTAGTGGGTAAGAATTTAACTATAGCAGCAGGTATGCAATGTGACATGAAGTATACTGGGTGGGGTTTGAGTGTGTTTTTCACAAAATATGCAGTGCCTTGTAAAATATTAATACCTGCTGAAGTTTTTACATGTAGTCTCCTCATAAGCAAATTTTGTCATGATCTGGGCACTAATGACTGGCTTAATTACTAACTCCATTCACCTGTCTAACTCTGCCCATTTTCTCATTATTACCTCTCATCCAATCCACCTGCTCCAACTTCTATTTAAAGTACTTGCATCTAGTCATCAACTCCAGATTATTCTTGTTCTCTCTAGCCATTGGTAAGAGTGTTTTTAGAGTTCCTTGGTGTTTCTGATTTCCTGATCCTGATGTGTTCTGCCTCTCAACCACTGAGCCAGGGGGGGATTTACCACTAGGCAATACTAGGCAGTTGCCTAGGGCCCCAAGTTCCTGGGGGCTCCATCAAATTCGGTTTACATGTATGGTTAATACAACTTTTGCTTATTTGTGCACAATATTTATGTTTTTGATAAAAATGCTTCAGCTAAAATGCCAACAGAACGCTGATAATATTAAGTGTGTCTCAGCCCCCCCCTTCAGTGTCCACCATATTGGATCAGTCCATTTGCTGCACATGTTCAGAAAGGTCCAAACAGACAGCAGCAAACCATTTGAAAACAAACCATGCAAAGAGCAGTGTTGCCAACTTAGCGCTTTAGTCGCTATATTTAGCCACTTTTCAGACCCCTCTAGCACTTTGATTTCTAAAAAGCTCCTAGCGCCAAATCTAGAGACTTTTTTCTGGAGACTTTGGAGACAACATCTAAAAGCAGCGAACTCTGCTCTCCAGAGCAAGTAGATTGGTAACCCCGCCTCCTGCTCTCCTCTATCTTGTCTGCTGTCATGATTCATGCAGCTATTATTTCATCCAAATGAAAAATGGAGAACAGATAAGCAGATCATGGCTTGTCTACAGTGAAAAGAAGGACTGGGTTATTTACTTTGGCCTTTTTGGAAACACAGGAAGGAGCAATCAGCTAAGTGAGCTTAGTGCTTGGAAAAAAATCTTTCATTCCTTTAGAGACAGCATGAAAAGTCAGCTGAGTACAAAACATAGAGAGGAAAACAAGAAGAAAAGGGACAAGAAGAGAGGGACACAACCTAGAACAGATAATTTATGTCTATTCTATTAAAATTGCTGTATCTATATTATGTTTTTTTTTTTTTTAATGTGTTGTCTTCTCAATTTAGAGGGCCCCCTGCCTTTCTTTGCCTAGGGCCCCAAATTCCCTAAATCCGCCCCTGCACTGAGCCTGCCTGTTCCTGTCTGAACAGTTTGCCTAAACTGTCTTTGGACTTCTGGATCTCTGAGCCCGTCTGTTTCTGTTCTGATCTGTTGCCTGACCTGGTTTCGGGACACCTGGACCTCTGACCTTGCCTGTTCCTGTTCTGTTTGTTCTGTTCTGACCTGTCTTCAGACTCCTGCATGTTCTCTGACGCTGCATCATCTGTGACACTCTGGGCAGCCTACGCCTTATGTTGTTGTCAGCCCATCAGCTGGATCCTGCCTCGTTCTCTGGCTATGGACTGAACTTCTGCAGATCTGCGGTCTTTGTCTTAACTAAATGCTTTTTGAGCAATGCCGCTGTCTGTCTGGCCTTGAATACTGGGTCCTTTGTTCTAAGTCTTGACACATAATTTGAATGTGTTTGGACTTTATGAGATAGACCAAACAACAAAGCGTCTCATGGTGAAGTGTAATGGTCTAGCAAAATTTGATCTTCCTTTATATTCAGACTGAGTCAAAGTTTGATAGTATCAACAGTTGCTGTAGTCTCTAACAGCTGTGCATCTGCTTTGAAGACAAAAATGTTTATTGTTTTTTCGATGTAATATCTTTCTGATTTAGTCAGGCTAAGTGGAAGCAGTCTGTCAACAGCAAGCTTTTAAGTGTTGCCATAAATGTGGGTATTTTTTAATTAATAATTCATCTATAAAGCACAAAATCACACATTATGTTTTCAAAGTTGATTCCATCAAATCATAAACACAGATTTGTTACAAACGTTTCTGTTAAAGGCATATCAGCATACTTACTGAGTCACTTAACAGGAGGAATCACTCCTCCTAAAGCCCGGTCACACCTTGACGATTTAGACAGCATATGCCTGACATAAGGAAAATCTGGCAAAAATGCTGGCATACGTTGGATTAGTTATGGGTACGTTTTGTATAAGTTAAGAGCACACCGAAGCACACTGAAACAAGCTGGCACACGTCCACATACAGAAAGTACATCGAGAAATTTTGAGCATGCTTACAGTATGAGCATATGCCAGCATATCTGATCATTGACATAAGTTAAGTTTAGGTTACTTATAAGTGGTGTGGTCTAGCTTATCCAAAACCTATGAGGAACTTGTGCATAACTTTTGCGTAACTTATCAAGAAAATATTTCCAACGTATATCAACGTATCTCACTTGTTCCAGATGACCGCTGAATGTGTTTCTAACACAACATCACGGTCATTGAGTTTACTCTCTCCATAAGGATCTTGTGAGCTGCTCTTCGTCTGACCCGTCACCTAGGACCGTTTTGCCATGGGAGACCCTACCAGGGGCATGATGTCCCCAGACAACATATCTCCTAGGATCATTCAGGCCCTCAAACAACCCCACCATGTTTAAGTGACAGCTCGCAGGGTGACTTCTAGAACCTGTTGGTGTAATTAGATGACTTCTAGAGCCAGTTAAAGTGGGTTTAATTTTAAGATCGCAAAGTGAAAGGGGTAATAAGAGTTTTTCTTAAAAAAAGCTTAATTTTTTTTTTTTTCACAAGCAGCTCTCATGCTATATCTAAACACTTCCAAGGCACAGTTGAAACAACCTATATATGAGTCCCAGTGAAAAAAAAAGATGCACTTGAAAACTTTTTTGAGGTTTAAGCAAAACAAGTCACGCTTGAAGCCATGAACTAACAATCTTGTCCTATCATTCCTATAAGGAATGATAGGACAAGATAGGACAGAGAAAATTTTGTTGAGAAAATCTTTTGGCGTTTACTCACCACTCGAAAGCTTAGGTGTTAAGCTACGATTGGTCTTTCACCACAAAGGCTCAAAATAGCAAAGGTTTAATGTTCCTCTCCTCCAGATGAGCTGCATTAGGCTCTGTCCAGCTAATCCTGAATGACCCACTTCTTAAAGGACAACCACACCCAATCCAGTCATCCTAACAAGAGGTTACTAACAAAGATTAGAAAACCTGCCTTCCTTCACATCCACTATCCATATGTTTACGAGACAAAATATGTTTTGAACCCAAAATAACTGTTAGACAATTTAATGTGATATTGTTGATTAAAAAAAGTACGTTTAATAAATTGGTAAAGAGAAAAGCAAAGATGAAAAAGACAAAATGTGACAGATCCTTATGAGATTACAGTGAATATTTAAAAACTAAATTATCACAAATAAGAAAGGAACTAAGCAAAGACATTAGTCTGTACAGAAGATGCAACCTGCTGTTGTGCTAGTCAACATCATATACACATAGCACTTAATACATACCAACACAAAACTTTGTACATGTGCTTTCAGTTAAATTCATATTTTTTTCCCATAAAACAGACAAAAGATGGAAAAAAGAAAATAAAACGTATTTCCCAAAAGCATTTCCAGTGCTGGAGCTCTGAATCAGTGCAGCACAAAGGTCGACACTTGCCCAAGTTGGAGGATGTTAGAGGATAAGAGTAGTTCATTTAAAAACAGCAGCCTGTGAAGATGAATGTTAGACGTACAGGACAGACCAGCTGTCCAACAGTGCCTTCTCTGATTGGCTGAAACTGAGACAGTTTCCTATGAGCTACAGATACACCCGCCTCAGGTCTCCAGGTGATGTTATGGTATTGCACTGAGGACACAACTTCTTTGCCCCCTGAAAACAGAAAGAAATCTTCAGTCCACACATGTTCTTTTTTCTGTCAAAGTGAGCAGACATGAGTCAGAGGATTTACCAACGTCCGCAGCCAGCACTCCTCACAGTGGACATGCCAGCACTGGATGGAGGTGAGCGGTGTTGTGTATGTGTCCTGCAGAAACAGACAGAAACACACAGCTGTAGTTTGAAAAGTCACCACTAGATGTCCATGTGAATCTATTTAACAAGAGTTTTACTACATTAACCAGCAGAAAATTTAATATTTCTGCTTTTTAACTAAGAGAAATAAAATAAAAATTTGAATCTAAAAAAAAAAAAGCATAATTTCTTTTTAAAACTGGTATTAAGGCTCAAAATTCCCGGTAGACTGAATATACTTTTTATTTTCTGTCTAAGGAAAAACAAGAATTATTAAACCAAATATTTTTTATATTAGTAGGTAAACCAATAATTAGGTGAAGAAGGTGGAGAAGTATTTAGGAACTATGAGCTTGGAAATTACCGAATAAACCCATGTAATTGTTTGCTGCTCTTTTTATATAACAGGAGGGGATCATTTTAAACAGTCTTATTGTGGTACAATTGTTTAGTGTATGTGCTCGTAGGTTTTTCCTCCATGTGCACATTTGGGATCCCACATTTTTATACAGGTTTTTATATGTTGGCTCATTAATGACATGTCATATTTCATGACGTTTCATGACGTTTTCATTCATTATGCCAGTCAATGGTAAAAAAAAAACAAAAAACAAAAAAACGCTAAACAAACGGAAAAAAAGGTTTTCTACCAAGAAGTGATGTAAAATTTTAGAAAAACATGACAAAGAGATACTATTGTTGAAAACCGCCAGAGAATTACAATGAACCCACATTTTCTTGTATTCTCTCTATTGAACTTAGCATCCTGATCCTAGCCACTTAATTTTTAAGTTTATGAATTGTGGGCATTATGGACAATGAAGAACATTCTTGGTGGACAAATATAACAAAACAAAGTGGAGTTTCTATGCTTTAAATGTAAATCCCTCTATAGCCTTCCAGGTATTGCATCCAATCAGTTCTTTGCATCACAGTACTGCATACACTAATACTGTAATGATTATGATTGGATTTTTTTATCTGCAAACAAACAGCACTAAATGTAATATAAATAAAAGAATGTGTGAGTCTAAGTTAGGTGCAACATTTTTAACCTGGTGAGAGTAAGAGCTTTGGTCTTTCAGTGCAAATGTTAGAAAACGATAAGGTCCAGGGCCTGTTTTAATGAAACACAAGAAAAAAACACTGCATTACTGAAATTTTGAAATTTAAGTTTATTATTGATTCATTGTCCCATCATAAATTTAGATTTATTGTTTTCTCAAATAAATTCATCAGCTGCGAGAAAAACAAAATGAAACAAATGAAAAAAAGCAAAAAACAAATCCTTATAGAACATATACTGAAAGCAGAAAAACATCAGATCAGATATTTGAAATATAAAGCCTAAAATCTACTGAGCCAAATCATAAAATCATGACAGCTTTAGAAAAAGAAAAAAAGAACGAATTAAATATTGATTTTCTGAGTATTGTTTTAGTTTCACTATTTAACAGTTTATTTGATTTCATTCAAAAGTTGTGCCTAAAATGCTATTTTAATCAAATGTGTTTCTGTTAATTAATACTAACACAAGTGTTTATGTGTTTGACTTATATTGATATAAAAATTCTGAGCCAGACTTCAGATACAGATGTAAAAACAGCAGTTAAAGTATAGTTATAGTTAAAAATAAAAAACATTTAATAAAAGTCACTATTCTTGGTTTGTCACATACTTTTTTTTTATAATTTTGGGGGATTTGTAAGAGTGTTTTTTTATGAGACGTTTTTTAGAATTTTCATATTATTTATTTTCTTTGTGTTAAACAAACAGTGAATGGAAATGAAAAACTTCCCTATTAGGCTATATGATTTTTTGAGATAACAAAATATGCCATCGATAAACTCACAGATTTTATGAAAAGCAAAATAAAATCTACACCAGCAGATGAAAGTTGCATATATAATTGAATATAAAGTCATATTTATAGCCCAGTAAACAGTCGTGACTATTAATACAAATTTAGAGCCATAAACAGGGGTCCCTGCAGGGATACAGGGGGTTTGCATTGCTGCACTCCCTTCTCTCTGGGTCTCTGCTCTATTGGTTTAATTTGCCATCATACTCACCATGCAGATGAGGCATTTAAATCTGTCTCCTTTAGACAGCTGCTTCTCCAAATCCCGGATCCGTGCTTTAAGCGCTTCCAGCGTTGTCGGCGTGGAGTCCTCTGAAAGCCTGCTTGCACACACACATACACACGCAAAGCTGAGCGCTCGGTAACAGAGCGAAAGGTGCGTGAGTTACCCTGACACTGGAGAGTCATTTATAAAATTGAAGACAGATTAAATTATTCGCTGGCCAACATGGACACTGAGCATGAAATTTAGCGGCAATCACATTGCCAGCATTGGGTGTCTCATTTATCATAGGAAGGAGACAGGGGCTGTGGAGGGAGGGGGTTGTCCACACACAAACAGACACAATTACAGGATAGACTGTATGTGCAAACAGACTGTACAGAAGGGACACAATGCATTAAGTGTGATGAAACATGTGTACATGCTTGCATGGCCTGGTAGGACCTTGATGGATGAGATCATCATATTGATACAGTGGTGTATATCATTCTGCTGGGAGCTGAGGGCAGGAAGGTAGTCTGATCTAATGGAGAGCCAAGATGTCAAAATACCGGCTATGGTTACAGCTGCTCCTCTCTGATTGGCTTCCTCACACCTAAAAATGTTTATCACTGTTCTGGTTCTCTGTGCATTCTGGGAAAAATGGCACCACCAGCATCAGCTCCCATGTGAACATAAAGCATCTGAGTCCTCTAGGATGACTTTGACATAAACCATTAAACCAAACAACCTTCTGGGTTCTACACGAGTAAAACTTAATATTTTGAGCTGTGTTGAAAAGCAGGATTATCTGACAGCAATTTCTATTAACAAAGTGACACTGAAATGTCCAACTTACGGCTCTATCTCTGTGTTTCTGCAGGTTCTGGGAAGACCGGCTATACTGGGGTCCTGCTTCTCCCCGCTACTTGTAGAAGGACTCCCTGAGTAAATAAAAAGTATGAAATATCAAGCACTTTGTTTAAACACAATTTTAAACTTGTTTGGAACTAAATAACGAATCTCCACTTAGGACAACTCACCATCATTTGACCATTTGGAAAAGTCGAGCTTCAGTCTGGAATCAGCCAACATGCTGCTGCTGAGACACAAGCAGTATTAGAAATATAATCACATTTCAGTTCAACAGTTCAAAGAGTAAAAGTAGTTATTTAATCTGAGTGGGCAACTATAGGAAAGATACATACTTTCCTGCTTTCTCTTTTGAGCTTTCTGCTGAGCAGGGGATTACATCCAGTTCACTATATCTGCAAACCACGGTCAGGAAGAAAATACATCCAAAAAAAGCAACATATTTACACACAAAAAAATGACGTTGTGTTGATGTTGTTTTGTTGGAATTATTTTTTTAACCAAAAACTCTAAATTAATAATTTTATCTGACTGAAGTACTTTTTCATTTTTGCGTTATTTGAAATACTGGTGTGAATTTATAATTTTCTTTAATGGGATGGTATGTAAACTTTGAAAGGCAACTGTATATCATCTAATAGCAGTTTAACATGTATAATTTTTACACAAAAATGTTTATACTGCTGGAATAAATTTGACTGGACATTAAAGTATGAGTGCTTAGGTAATAAAAGCAAACGCTCTTACCTCTCCTCCTAATAAACTCCTGATTAAAGGTGACAGGTTGGAATTATTTTCCAACACAACAGGATCTTTGGGTAAAACTGTGCTCTCATTGAGATTTGAAATAAATAAAACAGGTTAAACATGTCTTCTACACTTGTATCTGATCTGGAGGAATATGCACAGTTATGAAGTCCTTCCTGTTTCCTTTCTATTTCTTATAAATCAGACTGTTGCAGTTTTAATGCATTTTCTTACAAACAGACCAAAAACATCCTTTACATGTAAAGAACCACATAGATCTGTGTTAGGTTTGGATATTGTGCATGGGTCTTACATATGTAATTGGTAATACTTCCAGGGCAAAGAAGATGTATGCTGCTGAACATCCTCCAGTAAAAGGGGACACATCTTTCTGTGCGGTTTGATCTTATTGAAAGTCAGGTATGAGCAGTCAGTTGATCATTTAATGCTGATAGATGATAAAAAGTTTCAAAGAAAGTCTGGCTAATTGCATCAGGTTGCTGACTTTGCAGTGATCATTTCGATCTCAGATCACTCTATAACCAGATATTTAGTAGTTTTTAATATTTACATTCAGCGTGAAAGGATACTGCGCCCTGCCGTACTCCAGAGTATCGTCCCCATCAACGTCCAGGTCTGCATCGCTGTCCCGACACTCCTTAGAAGTCGTACTTACTAGCGTTGCACCTGATGAAAGTATTTTGTAAGTAAACTTGTACAAAAATGTTTATCAGCTGCACGAGGTTGCTTTCTATGAGCTATTTATCTTATGTCACAATTGGAGAAAAAATGCAATGTTTTGTAGCTAAACTTTCTGCCTGTCGGTTTGCAGAACACAGCTTTCCTCCCTGCTAAAAGAAACTATCTAGAGCCTTTGGGGCAAACTTTCCATGCCATAATCTGGTTTGAAAAGTTCAGTGGTTCTTCAATTGTCTCTCAGTCACATCACTTATCCTCCACTAAATCAGATCTTACACACACAGCCACGCAGGCACAGGTTCACGCTTACCTTTAAAACCTACAGCTGCCATCTGTGTCCTTCTCCTCTCATTCCACTCGTCCTCTGCAGGCACCAAGTCTGCTGATCCCTCCTGGAACATGCACAAGAACAAGGCTTCACCCTCTGCATGAATACCCACATATGTCCCCAGATAGCCAAGGGCAACGTATCTGCATCTGTGTTTTTATAGCTGGTGGTGTTTTCACATGGATACACAGCAGACTGACGATGATCCTGATGTCATGTGAACAAAGCCGCTCAACAGTGTTTGTGCATTCAGCCCCTTGACATTGTCTTAACCCAATATCAGCAGACGACATGTTAAGTTTACCATTATGACATTATAGGGAAATAAATAGCTTTGTCTGCATTGAATGCCAAGTAAAAAAAAAAATACCTGTCCTTCCTCAGGTTTTCTCCTCTTCAGCTTCCCAATTTTGACTAAACATAGAGAGAAGAAAGATGATGAAATTGAGATTTTAGAAATATGAATAAGTAAAACAAGAGTAAAATTATCAACTATCTTTTAGTTGAAATAAGAAAATCTTACTTCAAAATCTACATTAATGTTTGAATGTAACTAAAACAGAATAAATTAGATTACACTAGTGAACAAACTACTAGTTGTTTTTTTAACTACATGCAACACATGATAATGATATGTGATTAATTTACTAATATATTGAACATTTAAAAAAAGTTCCACTCAGTATAATAATTATCTGAGCTTTCTTTTTAATATAGATGGATATACACAACCTATTCATCATGATGTGCAAATGTAATAGATTTAGCTTTAACGTTATTATTTGGGTTTAATTTTTAGGGTAATAAAAAACTGAAAATGAGGTAAACTCAGAAAAAAATACAACTGTCAACCAACCCTTGCAGCTCTGACATGAAAACTCATTAACGATAGTTATAGCTGCTATAACACATTTTATTGTCAAATTTAAAAAAAAAACAATGCAAATAACCTTCAGTGAGATAGTAGGACTACCCATCACTACTCAAGATTAGAGTTCTTGAAATATAGTTCACCTGATCTGTTTTTAAACATTATTAAGTGTATTATTAGGCTATTATAGCGGTCCATAAAGCCATCCATAGTTTCCAGGACCTCACCATCACAGCCCATCCTCCATACTTCAAAGTGGCTTTTAGTTTGGGCTACTATGTTAAGCTTCAATCTCAACGCTAATTCTGACACTTTGCATTGAAAAAGCTTTCTGGATGGGAAGCGAAACGTTTTCAAACTAGGAAACCAAGTCCAGTGGATTTTTTTTTTACTTTCTTTGGAATTACTATGACCTGGATGACTGAGAATCTTCATACGCATTTTCCACATTTTCCACATTTCTAACTTTTGTGTTTGTTGCTGAAAACCAATCTAATTTGACCACAGCAAACAGTTTCAGGTAAAATTTTGAGGACTTTCTTTTTATATTCCTAAAGGAAAGGCATAAAAAAGCATCTCCCTCCCATGGGTCCCAAATAACTACTTGGCAAGTAGTCTGCAGGTAATATTTGTTAGAAAGTAGGAAGTGTCGGTGACTCTGATATGCCACTATTTGCAAAAAGCAAACTTGGTAGATTTATCTCTTCCTCTCTTTCCAGCCTCCTTACTGCTTGTGCCGTCTAACTATACTGGCCTCCTTATTCACCATTCTTTGTTTTACCTGTTTCTCTTGAATGGGAAGTCTTTTTATATTTCCCATCTTGAATAAGGACTAAGAGAAGTCGGATCTGTCTCATGTACAATTTTTTATCACCACAGAAAAAAGCAGGGCTGCAATAAATAGGTGCCTTAGTTACCGTTATTTTATAGGACTTTTGTAAGGTACCAATCATGATAACACCAGTAGAACAGAAAATAAGTTAAATCTGAGGTTATTTTCTGCAATGCAGTCGCAGCTTTTATATATCTCAAAGTTTAAAGTCACACTGTAACCCTAAGCATCAAAATACTGATTTATTTTAAGGGTTACTTTGATGTTTCATTTAAAATGTCAATAAAGATTTTACCTACCTTATAATAATAATATTCATTATTTATGTATCTATCAACCTTTATCACAGTAATAGAGGAAATAGAATGTACACAAATTAATGGGCTTTGATATCAAAACACTTTAAAACCTGCATTTTTAGTTAAACATGTTTTTGTTTCCAACCCTTAAAGATTGATTTTCACATGATTTTAATGTAACGGAATCATCAATAACATGAAGAGTTAAAAGACATGATGGGGTTCTAACAGCTATTTGGCTGGTCTGAGGAGAGATGCTGGGTACAACTTTAAAATATAGCCGACCACAGTTTGTACCTTAATGAAAGTGACTCAGATGAGCTGCATAATGCATTCAGATGTAAGAGCAGGCCCCTTTCTGTCATCTCTGTGGACACTTTCCCCACTAAGAATATTAAAGTTAACAAGGCGGAACATCAACAGCACCTCCTCTACCGCTACGACCTAACTCTCTGCTGAACGCATGAGGGGACATTAAGTTTTAGAGCCCTCTAATTCGAGGTGGATGACAGTGTGCCTCAGTTAGATGGGGATCCGGGGCATGGCTGTGACCCAAGCGCCGCCATCCCGGCACACATAATGAGGGTTAAAGAGATGGTCATAGATGAGGAAGAGCTCATCAAACAAAGAGAGAGTGAAACTGATTAATCAACAGAGCAGCACCTCCTCCCCAGTCCTTTCTTTTTCCTCTCTGACGTGTATTTAGGAGCTCATTATGCTGTCGGTTATAAAGCCCAGTAAAGACTAACAGACCTTGACAGCAGCAGTGTTAGGATTCAGCTAACAGCCACAGCATCTCCATAGAAAATGTTAGCAAAAATATCATGGAAGTTATTGTCAGAATGCTGAATTAATCTAATTTGAATAACATTACAGACTTAGAAACAGGCTTTTTCAGGAGAATACCTGTAATATATTAATAAATGGAAATATTTAAATACATTGTAATAGTGATCCTCTGTCTTATCTGACAGATTCAGATAAGTCTGCAGCTTTTTTGAACTAAAGAGTGTGTTTTGCTCTAACTATGCTTAATGAAAACTTTGTTAAAGCAACAAAGGTTACCTGAGTTCTAGAAAAAGTCTGTTTTTTTTTTACCAATGACTATAAACAAACATTTACAAAAAAAACTATGAAATGCTATTTGTGAAAAATGACTTAAATTATAGTTTACAACCTAACTATACTAGAAAAAAAAAGATCTAAAATAGATCTAAAAATGTAACCTTAAGCAGAGTGTCATATGTTAATTCAAACAAAAAAATTGAAATCTGCATAATTTTGTGAATAGATACTTAGAAATATGTGTTGGTTTTGTTGCCATACATTGATAATGTAAATTAATTGCTATGAAAAAAGCCAAGACAAAAGATTTCTCAATTCTAAAGATGCTATCACCAGAGCTACTATCAGAGTGTTTACTTTTGTTTTTGTTGCTTTTATTTGATAATTTCAGTTCTTTACAATTAGAAAATGCAATGTAAAAAAAAGGGCAATTCTCTGTTTCAAAAATGTCGTATGCCATAAACAGCGCTGTCATTTCAGGGGACAATTTACATAAGCTGAAGGTGTTCTTAATGATCTAATATCCCAGCATTGAATAGATACCAGAGCAATAAATCTTACTTTTGTATATATCAGGTATAGTTCAGTGTTACTAAAAGGCATTTTGAACGCAGTGATCAGCTGTAAAGGCTTTACAAAGGGTGTGAGAGGAGTTTGAAATTGAGAAGGAAAAAAAAAATGAGGTGACTTTGGATTGGCCTTTTATAGGAAAAGAAATTAATCTTATCGTTCTCTTAACTTTTCACTCTTAACTCTTAACTATCTCTCTTAACTTAACAAATTATATCAGCATACAGATATACTACAATTTTCTATGTAATAATATACCATTTTCTTTTCTTTTCCTAAAATTCTTTCCTAAAACTTTTATAAGCTTAGCTTCAATGATTATCCAAACTATCATTATTTACCAATCGATATCTTTAACAATATAGTTTGATCAAAACATCTCCTTTTTACATGTTTTAATATTTAGTCAGTGTAAAAGCACATTTAATCTAACATCGAAGAAGGTTGCTGATTGGATAGGGGAGAAAAAGTGCTTCTCTGTGCTTCTTACCAGCTTGTATGCAGTCTAGATGGGCTCCTGCGCTGTGTGGGCGTAATGGGGTGGATTTGACGTAGCACCTGCACCAGCAGAGGTCGTCGACTGTTAACATATCAGAGGTCAAAGTTGGAAAGGTTAATAGCACCTCTGCTCGTGTGGGCGCTAGGCCAGTGGAGAATTAGTTGGAAAAAAAGGGGAAATATCTGCACTACTTATGAGGGAGGGCTTTAAAAAAGTGACACATGGCTAAATGTCTGTGTGTGAACAAAGGAAACTGATTAATGGAGTCTTTTAAATTAGAAGCCACTTAACACCGTAGGCTTTAAACACTGGACTGTGTTGGGTACAAAATGACCCTCCAGCAGTGAAACAATAAGACCACTTTGAATTACTTACCATTTAGTCGTGTATGTCTGTTGGCTCGCACTCTGAGAAACGTCTGCAACAAAGAACACAAGATGTATTGAGATCAAAAACACTTTGTAATTTATCTCAATAAGTCAGACTCAACATGACAATCTAGGTTTTTAAACATTCATGCAGAAATTTCTACCTAAACTCTTTAAGATACTGTCAATTGTATTTGTTATATAGTCATCCAAGCCCTTTTCATCTATACCAATAATCATATCAACTGAGTCTATGTGGTGCTGTTAGATTTAGAGCAACATCTTGTAACTTCTAGCGGCAAAGAGGGACTTTATCTGTAACTTTCAGGCTTAGCTCTGCTAAAAGCAACTGTCACAAAACTAGAACCTCAGTTCAGCAGATTGAGAAGTCAAGGAGTTACTTAAAGACAAGGCCACATTAACCCTTCTGGATTGAAACTTTTATGAAAGAACCAAAGAAGGAGCATCAATAGCACCAACTGCTGTCGATTGACTTAAAAAAATAATTAAATATATCTCAAATTCAGCATAAGTTACACATTGCTGCTTTAAGCGACATGTTGAATGTTAATGCTGTCACACATTGACGATTTAGGCAGCGCATTCCAACGTCCCAGAATCTTCTAAAACAATGTTATGCACTGAACTTTCTATGTATTTTTTCAATTTTCAAGGTATAGAGTATTCATATGAGAACATAACTTTTGCGCAACGACAGCCTAACTTATGAATAAGGCACAGCAGCGTAATGCCCATGCAATGTCACAAGCAATTGTCCTGAGGGGGGCAGCAATGTGCCTGGAGGCGCCCTGTCTGCATAAAAAGAACATGAAGACAATTTCTCTAAACTTTGCAGTCATGGTATTCACCTAGCTGCTGTTTATCACCCGCCAAAAAAAAAAAGAAAGAAAGCAGATTCAGCATCATGTCTGCTAAGAAGTTTGTTGATCGTGGCCATGGGCGTGAACACAGGGAGGGTCCATCACTCACGCTCACCCTACAACTGGACCAGAGTCAAATTGATGAGATCATGCTTATGTTGGAGGACAGCTAATATGTATTCCCATCTCAGCCTTGCTGGATCATCCATCCCTTGTGAAATGTCTGAAGTCTGGAGGAGAATTGACGGTTTCCTGCTGTGAACCCCCTTTTATATCAAAACGCTGCCAATTCCCCATTATACAGCAGCAGTAGGTTAGAAACACATTCAGCGGTCGTCCGGAACACTTAAAAAACTTTGATTGAATGATTATGCGTTGGAGATAAGTTATTGATAAGTTACGCATAAGTTATACACAAGTTACTCATAGTTTTTGGATAAGCTAGACACCACGACTTATGAGTAAGTTATGCTTAACATGTATCAACTATCACACAGCTTACCTGTAACTTATGCCCCATGGATGAGCATACTTGCCTTATGTTGATGTGTGCCAGCGTGCTTCAGCACGCTCATAAGTTATAGAAAAGTTACCCAGAACCTATCCAACGTACGCCAGCGTTTTGGCCAAATTTTCGTATGTCAGCATAGCTGGCTAAATCGTCATGGTGTGACAGCTCCTTAAGCAATGTTAAGTCATGTACTATGACTAAAAAAAGCACCAAAACCATTTGTTCATGTACAGATAAAACGTTGTACACCAAGCATATAGTGTTTACTCAGTCCTTTTTTAACTGAAAATAAAATTGCACCAAGTGGAATCAGCAGACAAAATCTTTGTTCTAAACAGTCGTCATCCACTGGCAGCTTTAGCAGTCACTGCATTGAGAATCAACATTTATATTCTATTCAGAGCGTTACTCGTGTCTTATCCCTCTTGGCATCTGCTTTTTTTTTTTTTTTTTTGCACTTTTTCTGATCTTTGATCTTTCCTAGTTTTTTCCACATCTCCACCTCTGCTCAGTCTTTTTTAGTCTATCAATGTCATATAGGTTGACTTGATTATACTTTCCCTCCTCACCTTGACAAAGTTCTCCAAATATATTTGATTGTAAGGAAAAGACACCCAAAAATTTTTTCTGTCACAATTAGTTCAGGTGGAAATTAATTAGAAGGTCCCACAGCAAGATATTCCTCTCAGTGTGTGCATGCATTGTCAGTGATCTTAGCTTAGCCAGATCACTTCATGCATTTTTTTGTAATATATTTTAAAAATAAATGTAAAATGTGAGAGCTAAAAATGTTTACAGCACTGATTTAGATAGCTGTCTTGAAAGCCGAGCATCATTAAGAGAAGTGATAATTTTTCCTAGAAAACAGTATTGATAATGGGGCTGTCATCTTTATTTTGTGCTTTTAAAAAAAAGAGAAAATAGTTCAAAACATAGGAACAACATAGTGGATACATTAAATAAAAAATAATAACTTCACATGAATTGTGGTTTATTTTGAAACAGTACCTGGTATCGGTCTGAGTGGGGTTCCTCAGAAGGCCGAGAGGGTGAAGTGGGAGAGCCTCCTTCACGCTTGATGTGCAGAGAGAAGGAAAGAGACTGATATAGGAGAGGAGAGGCAATACAGGGTTAAAATAAAGAAAACTCAAGCAAAATGAGAGAAAACTGTTGTTCTACCAGCAGCAAGTAAAATCAGAACACATTAACTCAATCGCAATAGTGCTGCTCCCAGTCACATCACACACTGTATTACTTTGCATAAATGCTAACTTCTCAAAACATTTATTAAAGCAGAGCCTATAACACTACTATAACACTGGAAAGAGCCCATATGTATGCCAGAAGTGCATAAACTTAAATACCCTTTAACCATTTAATTTGTTTTTGTAATTGTCTTTTTTTTTATATAAAATATGTAAAACTGTATTTAAAGAACATCAAAAAGGTATCATCTTTTAAGATTAGAGATTTTCCTTTTTTACAGAAAAGACTATATGTGATATTAATCTTGACATCTTTGAAGTTTTCATGGTAATTTACCATTTTTAAAAGTCAGATTTTTGGGGTTCTTTTCTAGAAAATTTGTTAAATGAATCAAAAAATGTTTCAGCAAAAATGTGCTCTTCCTTTTTTTTCTTTCATCTACAATGGTCCTAACACTCTGTGATGATGTTGTTTCCCTTTTCCCTTCATAATTAACCACGGCTTGGCCATCTGGGGCCAAGAAATTGATGCTCGATACTCATTCCCTAAGGTGGTCAAAAAATGTTCTGTTATAATCTGAAACCTTGTGAGCCTCCTTCCCCAGTAAGCTTCATTATAGGCCAAATTAAATCAAATCTGCAAATATTTAGAAAGCAGGAATATAGCTTAAAGAAGATCCTCCACAAGTCATTCCAGGAATCCTTTTTACTATCAAAACAAAAGGCAGATATGCCAGAATGTACAGGTGGCATCAGGTTTTATAAAGAGATCACATCTCTGCTGACCTTTGGTGTCCTTATGAGATGGTCATGCTGCAATCCAGGGAGGCTTAAGGAGACAGAAAAAACATTAAAGCTTACATTTTCACATGACAATAAAAAGACAATAAAAATTTGTTTAGCTTGACATACTGTATATAAACACAATAGTGATTTTTCCTAAATCCAGCATCAGTCTGGAATTGCAGTCTTTGTAAAAATTCATTTTAATCTTTTACATTTCATGTCTGCCACACACCACAGATACTGAGCCTTTACGTTCATACACTGTTGCTCTTTCTTACACACATACAGAGTGTCCCCGTGGGCAAAGTTCAATTTGAAACCATTACTGTCCATGGAGCGGTCGTTAAGCAGATTTGGAGTGTAATGTCTTTATTGGAGGAATCATTCTTCTGGTTTAAGCAGCAGGTAATGTGTGCGTCTAAATTTGAATTTTACACACCAAGCACCTCTGCATGTGTGTGCAAGCGTCAGTGTGTGTGTAGAGGCTCAAAGCAGCCATTAGAAGGACATTATCCTCCTGCTGTATGAGTTGTCGCCCGGAGGCCCGAAGGGCTGTGATATGAAATATGTGAGGAACAATGAGGCAGCTTGTAAACACTGCACACAGGTGACAAAGACGATGGGAGATACCACCGGGGAAGAATAAAGGAAGAGAGGCCGCTAGATACAAAATGTGTCAACATGAGTTATCTCATGGGAGCTAAGCAGAACAGAGAGACGGTGATGCTAAACAGACAGAGGAATGAAAAAATGATAAATAGAAAAAAGTGAAAGCTTGAAGGGAAATATAGAAGGAGGAAAGGATGTGATCAGCAATATGGTTAGCATGTATGGGGGGGAAAAGGCTCTCATGTTAAAGTTAAAGAGAAAAAAGAACAAATTCTAATAAATATGCATTTTTATTTGTTTACAGTTTACTTAAATTACAGTGCAATACCTGATTTGTAGCTGGGAAAGTTTGGACAGCTCTTGCTCCATGTGATCCTGCAGCTCTCCTGGTCGCAGTACAGCCTGGCAGACCGGACACACTGGGGCCTGAGTGTCATATAGACTTTTCACCTTACCTAAGGAGACAGACAAGCTCCAGTTCAAAAACAGGATTATTGTTTTATGTCATTCAAGTTTTCAGATTTAAACAAACTAAGAAGTCAGGATTACTATTTGTAAAAGAAACTGCCAAATTTATCCCTGCAAAGATATATTTATCACTGCTGCACTTAAAAACATAGAAATGTCTTGAGAACAGTATTGAACGAAATTTCATTTTGTATACACCCTGTGTGTACATAATGACAATAAGGTTTGTCTAAGTCTAAGTCATATTGTTTACATTAATTTAGTTTACATGATCAAAATACGTTCCTCAGATTTGCTTGTAACGCAAGTGAATCTGCTGGGAAGGTTTCAAAATGATTACAATTGTTTTCTAAGATTTAATTTTTTAAGTTTAAATACAAAAGCAAAACACAAGGAATAATACATTGATTACACTTTCAGGAGTTGGATATTTGGATGATGACAAGCAAGCTGTTCAAACAAATATATTGCCTTGCAAAACCATTCATTCCCCTTATACTTTTCACATTATAATAGAAAAAAATACATACCTGTTTTATTTTTTAAACAAATTTCTTTCACTGGATTTTATAGATTTTTTAATGTGATAGACAAACACAAATCAGTGAGTAACTGAGAAGCAAAATAAAAAATGCTGTGATCTTAATTTTTACAAATGCAATCCAATAATAAAGCATCCCAGCGATGACATTTGTGGTTTTAACATGAAAAAGTATGAAAAGGTTAATGGATTAAAAAAATGTCTGCCATGCTCTTTAAGTGAGGTAGAAATAAATGATGTGTGTAAGAAATTTACATTGATATCCACTGTTATTAGCTTATTTAAAACCTTCTGTAGCTGAAGCCAGACCTGAAGGAGCTTAGTGTTCCTTCTCTCACTTTAGGTGAAAGTAAAACCAGGTTAAACACACACAAATACAACATCATGGCACCCTGCTGTCAGCATTTTGACATTATAGGCTGTCAGTAGGAACATTACCCAGGAGGGCTGCTGGGTCCATTGGGCCCAACTGATGGATTACTGCCATAAGCAGGCAGCTGGGAGCCTCAAAAGCTCCACTATATCAAGATTTTACCTAGTAGATGAGGTGATTTACTCCTGAAATCCATCTGTCATAAGGAGAGAGCCAGTAGGCACCATACACCTAATTCCCTATCTTCACAAGTTATGAAAGAATGAGAGATTTATTCAGGCAATCAAACATAACGTTTTACTTCAAATCAAGGAGGAAAAAACAGCATCCAAAAAACAGAAAACAAATGGTTTGTCTCAAACCCCAGTGGAGCATCAGTTGAGCAATGAAGATCCCATAACAATCAACCAAATAGGACCAAATGGCCTCTAAATAAAACATGCGATGGAAAATAGAAATTTGAGTCAGGTGTCCTTGGAGGTGTGACAGGTTTTTCACCGATCACCAACATCACCACCTTCTCTCCCAATCCTCACTTGCCTTTTTTGCATCCCCTCCTGGAAGCCTAAATGACTTTTCCCGACATGCATTGAACGTTCCCGGGCTTTATGCGCTCTGCCGCCTGGAACACGCAGGCATCAGTAAACAATGAAATCTGTGTGCTGAAATTGAATTTATAACCACATTACCTACACAGATAACGTCTCTAAATGGCGCCGCGATAAGAGCAATGGGATTTGATTTTGAGGTGTTTTATTGCTGCCCTTTTTGGATAAGCCTACCCCTCTTTTTCTCTTCCACAGCCTCTCCCCACCAATGCCCCATCTATCTGTCACCTCACAGACATCAGCTTTAATGTTGTGGGGGCCAGAGTGTTTGTGGTTTGGATGCAGAGATGAATGTGTTTGTGTGTGTACATACTTTTCCGTTCTAGATGCTTGTAAGCACCAGTTGTTGGTTCACGACTACCTTTTTACGCGTCTCCACCCCTTCGCTGCCCTTGGCCCCTACCCACATAAAACCTGTCGGTATTAGTCAACCTCAGCCCCTCTTCAGCCTGGGGGGTCTGAGACACAACAACAGGGGCTGTAAAACCTGCCTGCGAGGCTTGTTAACCGCTCCCTCACTACGGCAACTGGCTCAGATGGATTGGCCCGCTCTCTCTGGGATGTGCTGAGTTGGACTGGCCCATCTCCAAATGGATTCACTGTCTCTGTGCCTGATTGTTCACTTTTTCCTCTCTTTGTGTCTAGCCAGTTCAAGACCTTGTTTCCTGACTGTCTAGGATTTTTGTCCAGTTGCTGCTTTCCCCCACAAACCCCATGAGAGGAGATTTTTTTTTCTGATTCAAAGTAGGTTTTGCACCTGTAACAAAATGTCTCAACTGGGGTTTTCTAATTCAAGTTCATTCAGAATTTTGTAGATTTTCCAACTAGTTAATAACAGCATACTTGTGAAATACATTCACAACTTTGATACAGAGGTGAAGTCTCAAGCTGCAAATGCAAAGTATCAAGATCTTGATTAAAGGATATTTGTTTACTGGTAAATAGATTAGTTGCTCAAAGCAATCATAATTATTCCCGGAGGTAGTATGACTGATTGCAAACCTGCAGTTAATACTTTGTTCAATCCTTTTCCAAAGAGGGAAGCATTCTTTCTTCTCATACGATTTGTTAAATTGAAAAAAAACAAAAACATAAGGGCTTTTCATAATCTCCTATATCTTCCAGTAAATCATATTTTGATATGTGTTTGTTT